CAGCCCACAGTCTTCCAGTTTGCCCATCAGAATGTCATGGGGAACCTTATCAAAAGCTTTACTGAAATCTAGGTAAATCACATCAACAGAGTTCCCACGATCCAGTAAGCTCGTCACACGATCAAAGAAGGAAACCAGGTTGGTCTGACAAGATCTGTTGGGGACAAAACCATGCTGACTTCCCCGGATCACTAAGTAGTCCTTCAGATGCTTACAGATCAATCCCTTTAAAATCTGCTCTAATATCTTCCCAACAACAGAAGTCAGACTGACCGACCTGTAGTTTCCTGGGTCATCCTTCTTCCCTTTCTTAAAGATTAGGATAACATTTGCTCTTCTCCTATCTTGTGGCACATCCTCAGTCCTCCAGGAGGCCTTGAAGATGATGGACAGAGGTTCTGCAAGTTCATTAGACAGTTCTTTGAGCACTCTTGGGTGCACACCATCTGGCCCAGGGGATTTGTATTCATCCAGTGCAGCCAGGTGCCTCTCCACAACCTCCCTGTCAAAGTCAACTGGACACTCAGGTGTCCTGTTATGTCCTATACCATCTCTAGATGGGCCCGTGTTCTTCTGGAAGAAAACAGAGGCAAAAAAATCATTATGCCTGTCAGCTTTTTCTCTGTCCTCCACCAGAGTTTCTCCTTCTACTCCCAAAAGCGGTCCAATTGCCTCTTTTACCTTGTGTTTGGTTCTCACATATCTGTAGAAGTTTTTCTTATTGTAGCAAGACACCTTGCCAGGCCCAACTCATACTGAGCTTTGGTTTCTCTGATGGCTGATCTGCAGTACCTAGTAACTCTCATATACTTCTCTTTAGAGGTCTGACCTTCCCTCCATTTCCTTTTTCTGGAGATGTTTAAGACACACTAATGCCACATGGAAGAAACAGTGAAAGAACCTTTGTCCCCCTGGAAGCTTCTTCTGCAAATAATAATGTAAAGCTTGAAAAACCCGTTAAGCTACTCTGTTTTCCTATCTGAGAAATTTTAAGGTGAAAAGACACAGGAATGAAGTCAAAGCTAGAATCTGTAACAGTGAAGATTAGAAGCTATCTGTGAATAAAGCAATCCATTGGATTCCTAAGATATTAAAAATAATTCTTGGATTCCTGATATGGTTCTTCATCTATATGTCTTGTTTACAAAATATCATGCTGCAAGTATGCTTACAGTGTTTTAAAGGAGGATATTCATACTGGCATGTTACTGGCTCTACTAGAGAAGGGTTTGTTCCATATCTTAGTTTAGAACGGGTATCTCTGTGCTCATTTGTGATTATGGACTCTTGGAATTTTGAGAGAAGGCAGTGAGCATTACTGTAACATGGCTGCCATAGAAATGCAAAGCCATCACAAAATGGTAACATGGGAGCATGTTCTCTGCAAATCATTACCTACCCTCATGGGAGCATGTTCTCTGCAAATCATTACAGACTGCAGCCAGCAGCAGTGCTTCCCTCTTTTCCTTCTCCTCAGTTGGGGCCAAACTCTCCACACTCCAGAGAATGACTCATAAAAGTCATCTATGTGGATTCCAGAAAACATATTACTGGGTTCCATGACATCCAAGGGTGCCACATTGAGGATTACTGTCCTAAAGTACAGTTGCAATTGACTGCAGAGAGGAAGGTCCATGCATTGACTGTCTGTTATTGTCTGTGGCACTGGTTTGACTGGGGCTCATTTGTGAAGCCCTTATAATTTCTCCTGCCTGTATAGGGTTGCCAGGTCCCATCTTCTCCCTGGCAGGGGGATTTGGCGGTGTTCTGGGATGGGGCGGGGCAGTCCCTGATGCAGTGACATCATGTAGAGTGATATCATCATGTTGGGGACACTGCATGTGCACACCTCCCACTTGTCCCCAACCATTTAAAGGGAGTGGGTGGCCCCCACTTGAAAAGAGTGGGTGCTGCATGTGCCTGCCCTGCAAGCCGCGTACAGCACCCTGTCATGATCTGGGCTGTGCCACCAGAGGTCTACTAGGCCCAGGGAACCTGGCTAGCAGTAGGTGAGGCTGGGCCTACAACTCTCAGAAGCCCCCGAGAGGGTTTTGGAGCCAAAAATGACCAATAGGAAAAGAGGAGGGCTTGGAATAAAAGAGGAAGCAGGAAAAAGCTGTTCTTCTTCCCAGGGGACAGCCCCAGAAGGGACTGAGGCTGCTGTAGGGAAGAGACCCTCATCCTGAGGGAAGGGTGAGTAGTTTAGTGCCACTTGGAATAGTGAGATAGCGACAGTATATATTTACACGCGTTAGGGCATTTGATTTCTTCTCTTTTCACCCACTTACTGTTATATTTCTGCACCTTGTTTGTTTGACCTTTTATAAAATAAACTATTTTTGTTGTTCACTCTGCCTGGTCCTCATGCCTATTATTTGGCCAAAAGGGAGGTCTAAAGGCCTGGGAAGGTGCTCTGGGACTTCTCAGAGGAGCCTGGAACCAGAGTGGTGGCAGTGTCAGGTGACACCCCACCTGAGCCGTGACACACCTGCTCTTTTCAAGCGGGACCATAGATGCCTTTTGGGGGTGGAGCTTTCCTTGCTGGCCAGCTGGCCAGTGTCTGGGGGAAACCCCCAAAATTGGGGGAATCCCCTGCCCCCACCTGGGGACTGGCATCCCTGCTGTTAGTCAAATTGTCTCAAATCATGATTTAATATGAGGAGTTATGATCTTAAACCAGGCAATAGGCTACTGTGGGGGTGAGCATCTATGTATACAGGGGTTCTGTTTCCTCCAGACACACCAAATAGACGCTGAGACTGACGTCGGTATAAGAAGATTTTGTTTACTGAATATATTTCAAGCATACAACAACACAGGAATACACACAATTATACAGCACCTAGGAAATATAGCACATTCGCATTAGCAGGATGTTCCGATGATGGGAGATACTCTACCTGTCCGAAGTCGGATGGAGCGAATCACAGGAAAATGAGGAGACTATGGGGTGCTGGGGAGAGGGTCGTGTCCTGAACCGGCAGGCGCATGATGAGACTCTGGCTGCGCAACCAAGAGTCAGAGGCTTCGGGTAGGAGGGGATCAGGTAAGGAAGCAAGAGTGCAAGTAAGCAAAAGCGAGAGCTGGTGTTGGGCCCTCGCTTTTATTAGGACGTTGAGGGGTGGGCTAAGCTTGGCCACCTCTCTTGGCACACCTCCTGTTAGTCCGCCCCCCAAAATATGCTGACTGGTGTAGGGGTTGAAAGTCTGGGGAGTGGGCAGTGTTAAACCTAATGAGAAACTAGACGGGACAATGGCACCTGATGGGGTTATGTCCTGTGCTGGCCAGAGCCATTGTTTCCTTGTTGTCTTATGGCTGTGGTTTCGACTAGGTGATGTATTAGGTGGGGAAAAACATGTTGCCTACGTGCAAGGAAAGGGGATTCTTCACGGAGTCTGGGTCCCCTATCTTCTATCCCGGCATGGCAGCAGCCTGGCTTCTTAGTGCTATACATGGCCAGGGAACTGGTCCATCTTATTGCAGGTAAGAGGGTTGGTGACATACAGGAACCATGAACACATCATCTCACAGGAAAGCTTCCTTCTGGGCACGTGTCTGTGGCTGGCATCATTTGGAGTTACCTTACAGTTCAGTCCCTTTTGCACACAACTAGCACAGATCAGGTTTTCATAACTTATGAGTTCATAGAGGTGCAATAGGGGCCTCATAGGGCAACACTGCACCTGTAAATAGTCAAACTGTAGTGCAAGGCATACAATCAGTTGTTCAGTCAAACATTCTTTGTTGGGCATTGTTGTTGAAGACAGCTGGGAAGCGACAGTTGGCACAGAATGCTTTCACCCTGTCCTGTTACCTAATTACTTGTGGGCCCAGTTCAAAGCCCTAAACAACTTGGGCCCAGCAACTCCTACATATACCTTTCTAGATACATAGAATGAGGAAGCTCATCTCTGTATCCCAGAACGAGGAAGCTCATCTCTGTATCCCAGAACAAGGAAGCTCATCTCTGTATCCCACTTGTCTACTGCAGTTAGTGCAGAGGTGGGATTGTCGTGTGCAGTTGTGCCTGCCCTGTGGAGTGTGCTTCCCAGAGTGATTTGACTCGTTGCTTCACTGGCTTTTTTGCTGAAAAACAAAACACGATGAAAACATTGTTTTGGAGGGCATTTTTGTTGACTGAATTGGCTTGTGTTTAAGCTTGTTTAGGCTTTTAATTGGCCAATTATACTGTTATGATGGCTTTTTGCTTGGCCAATGAGTTTGTTTTTATTTCAGTAGTGTAATGGTGTTAGGCTGTTTTTAATTGTACTTAATGGTGTGTGCACTTTTATAGCAGCAGCTGCATTTGAATACAAGGATGAAATAAACTGTATCTCTGTTCCTGTTGCGGAGCAGGGTGGGGGAGTAGCCTGAGAGAATTCTTCCATATCTGGGTATGAGGCTGAACTGATAAATGCAAGAGTTCCTGCAATATGACTTTCATTGTGTGTTTGAGTGGCACATCTTTTGGCTGTGACTGCATATGAAGAGATCTGACATGACCTGGAAGCAGGGTGGGATCTGACATGACTTCCTCTTCTCAGGCCTCTCCACATGCGGTAAGACTGAGACAAAATGTTGAGAAGAGCCAGTGTGGTATAGTGGCTAGAGTGTAGGACTCTGGTTCAAATCACTCACTGGGTTACCTTGGGCTGGCCATTCTGGCTCAGCCTAACCTTATGGTAGTTGTGAGGGTAGGTTAAAGAGAACAATGTATACTGTCTTAAGGACCTTGGAGGAAAGACAAGAGATTCACCGTATTTTGGTATTGAATACTGGCAGTTGATACAGTCATAATTCCTTCTGGGGTGCAGTTTCTTGTGCTTACTGAGAGTGGACAGTTGGTAAGCAACTTATTCTCTAGGGATTTTTGGTGGGTTCAGCCATCTGTTCTTGCCCACAATAAAGAGTTTAATAACTTCATTAAGACACAGCATTAAGCTCTGAAATGGTAGTATCCTGTTCATTCTATGCATTTTAATGAATTTTTTTATTTCCAGGTGAAAAATCTAAATGCGGAGCCTTCATCACCTATGCCAGTAACTGACTACCCAGACAGAATTGCCAGTTCTATGGCTTACTCAGCTTCTGATGTTCCTGCACATCGTGTCTATCCTGAAAATAACTACAGATCTACACCGTAAGTAAATTCTTCCTGTTGTTTTTGTTGTTGGACTGGAGGTATCAGAAGTTTAGTTATTTTTATGAGGACTGTTGAAGTAGAAGGGCAGAATGAAAATATTGTAATTTGTTGAGTAATTGGGAGTAGAATCTGGGATTATATTGTTTGTTCCATTAACCTGGGCTACTGTTTTACACTGCCCTAGTCCACTCCAGGATTTATTGTGGGCAAGAACAGAGAAAGCGTCATTACTGCAGCCCAACACAAACAAGCAATCTATTCAACTGTGTTGCCTTTTTATTTTGATGCCTACCATTGAGGACACAACCACCTGTAAGGGTTGCTTTTGACATAACTGTTACTTGTGGTAAAGTTGCTGCAGGATTTTTGCTTAACCTGGGATCTGAAACAAAGACTTGTGTTTTTATTGTTTTTAACTGCTTTTAATTATGCATTATATGCATTTTATTCTATGGCGTACACTGCCCCGAGCCCTGTTCTTATAGGGAAGGGCAGTTTAAAATTCAATTTAATAAATAATAGTTAGGCCTCTTTGTAGTCAAGGAGTGAACGAGGTTGGCATCAGGAAACAAGTCATGTTGTCTGTATGCATTTGCACATCAGACAGACTATAGTTAAAGCTAATTGGTTCAAGAGCCAACTTCACACCATGATTTCAGATACTAACTTGATGAACCCTCACTAACTCTGCTTGGTGGAGTAGCCTAACAGTAGTTTGTTTAATGAATGGTTTCATGTTATGCTTGACCTGAGCCTCTGTCTCAGTCTAACTTTCTTCATAGGATTTTGAGGGTAAAGTGGAGGAGGAGTGAACATCGTATGCCACCTTGGAAGCAGGGTGGGGGAAAAATGTGACAGATGAAAATACATTCTTACGAAAGTCCCTTCAGGCCCCTGGGAGTATTTCAGATTTCAGAAAGATTTCTGACACTCTAGTCCTCTTGTTGAAACTAAGCTTGTGAGCTAAAGATAAACATATTCAAAAGCAACTCCTTGTATTGCCTGTGGGTGTGCTGGGTGGAGAGAGGAATGGGAGTGGAAGTTGTGCCAAACAGCTTATCCTGTGGACATTATTCCTAACCAGTGAATGAAGGCATTGTCTGTCTTTCAGGTAGCTTCACTTTGGTTTAATGTTAGGCCAGTTTTCCTGGTAAAGCCTGCAGTTAGCCATGAAAGCTGCTTCTCTGTTAGCAATATTAATGAAGGATACATTTATCGGCAGTTTGGGTTGGATCCTTTCCAGCAATAGAAATGCTTTCCTCTGTCATAAGGAGTCTTCTGCTGGTAGAAGCCTCTCTTGTGTTAGTAGATGGCTCCTTGCAGAGGAAGAGAGTGGAATGCAGTCCTAGGATCTAATCTTTTGTAGTATCAGGGCTCACACGTTTGTGTTATAATTCTTCCTAAATATTGATGGTAGAAAGTGCCGTCAAATCACAAGCTGACTTATGGCGACCCCATAGGGTTTTCAAGGCAAGAGACAAACGGAGGTAGTTCACCATCACTACCTGCCTCTGCATAGCAACCCTGAACTTCCTCGGTGGTCTCCCATCCAAGTACTAACCAGGGCCAGCCCTGCTGAGCTTCAGAGGTTTGATGAGACCTAGCCTGGGCCATCCAAATCCAAAACCTTAGCCATATTTTAGAGCTGCTCTATTATGTGCTCCAACACATTATGTGTCAAATCTGTAGATGCCTAGGCGGTCAGGCATCTGGCATTCCACCACTATCGACTGCTGATTCTCTGTTCCAATATTTCTAGTGTGCAAAATCTTTCATATCATTTAATTAGTCTTTGCAAATTCATTAAGCTAGGTCACTTTCATTTCCTTTTTATCTGTAGGGAATCATGAATCAGTAACTCTTCAGAATAATCAATTGGTTAACTAACTGGAATTCCAAAGAAGCAAGGTTTTGAGTTGATGTCTGGCATTGCCTGCTACTGTGTATTCTACTGGGCTTCAGTTGCTTCATTTTGTCAGATCCCACAGAGCAATTCCTGTGTGTGAAGGTCTTTCTCAGTGTTTAAAGGATACAAAATGTTTTCCTTTAGACACATACTCTTCACAGAAGGAACTCTACACCAACAAATTAAGAGACTTCATTCCTTCTCTTAATTATTGTTTAGTGTACCGTTGATACTTTCACTTGAAACTGAATATCCTAATTTTGTCATAGGATGCCTGCAACTATCGACCCCTTAACAAAACAGTATGCCGATACTAGCAATCACAATGGGTCAGCTAAGGTCCCAGCACAAAAAAGAAAAGCAAGGAGACAGAAACAAATCAACAGTGACAACTATGATGCAGATTATACCACTGGAGGGGAATCGTGCGATGAACTGGAAGAGGATTGGTACAGGTATGGTCGTCTCCATAATGCGGGGCATTGGCATGACAGTAATTTGCAGTCTGACTTATAAAATCAGTTTGGACAATCATGGTTTGGGCTATGCTGGATGTGGGCTGGCAGGATGTGTAGCAGACATCTGTCTGAAAGGAAGGAATAAGAAGAGACCAATAAGGATAGGCATTGGAATCCAGTCCCCTACTAACCTCATGCCCTGTTTCTATTAGTATAAACATTTATAAGGGACTTAATTCAAAAGGGCTTGGTTTTCTACTTGGTAATGGGAACAGAGTGTTTTGGTGATGAAAGAGAAGCACTGTTACCCCCACTATTATATTTGAGCCACAGGACAAATCTTTTTCACTAGTATGCACAAATATAAATCTATTGAACAAGATAGGGCTGTGAATGCACTGTTAATAATTTAATCTGTATTTGTTTTTTTCTAATATTACTGGCACGTACAGATGCTTGCAACAAGAAATCAAAATGCCATGGGTTGTACCTTACAACTCTGTTCTACTAAATGGTAGTTTTTTCCTCCTACGCAAGGAACGAAATGGAGCAGTAGGATCTAATCTACACAATTATAGAAAAGATTTTTTAAAAAACAACTAAAATAGCAGCCAGTAGCAGAATAAAATTGGGGAAACCACTAGGCCATTCAGATTTGACCTAGATCAGATCCCTGATGAATATACAGTGGATGTGAAGAATAGGTTTAAGGGACTAGATTTGATAGAGTGCCTGAAGAACTATGGACAGAGGTTCGTGACATTGTACAGGAGGCTGCAATCACCACCATCCCAAAGAAAAAGAAATGGAAGAAAGCAAAGTGGCTGTCTGATGAGGCTTTATAAATAGCAGAGGAAAGAAGGAAAGCAAAAGGCAAAGGTGAAAAGGAAAGATTTACCCAACTGAATGCAGATTTCCAGAGAACAGCAAGGAGAGATAAGGAGGCTTTCCTGAATGAACAATGCAAAGTAATAGAGGAAAACAA